TTCTTTGATCTGTTGTTTTTTTTCTTCTGTTGTGGGAAATTGAATCCAACGGCCCATTATTCTATTAAGTGCTTCTACTGTTGCATGGATGGCAACAGAAATTGATGTTTGACATATACAACTAAAAAAATCTCGTCCCACTTTTCTTTGGTAGGAACCAGATGATAAAAAATGCAGTGTTGCAAATATCTAAAAAAAATAATTAGACATATGTATATATTCAAAGTAAAAAAAAGAACAAGAACGTAAAAAGAAGTTTAGATACTTGGATGTGTCGAGGTATTGCTGTACTTCTTGTTGTAGGGGGCATGTAAGGAAGTAATTCATTAATTAATTCCATTGTAGCAGCTTTAGATAATCTAAAATAAAAAAATAATGCATATAATATTAAGTAATATAATATAATAATAAAATAATATTACATAATATTATATTTATATGATATATTATTTAATTTTATTATTAAATTATATACATATATATATATATATATATATATATGTTTATATAATTTTCCATAAATCACACATATATATATATATATATATATTAAAACATAAATTTACCTATATAATTTTTTAAATGTATTTTCGTCTACATTAAAAGGATTTTGAGTATCTCTTAAATTTTTACGTATTATATTCAAGCTTTTTTGCCGTCTCCTTTTCGTCTTCGTTATTATTTTCTTCATACTGTAATAAAATTAAATACTCCATATTTACTCTTTTATAATTTCACAAATTTCACGTATGGCCGTAAATAACCTCCAAAATCCTTTAAATGTAGACTTCGACGTAAATGACATAATTCGACACAAAATTTCTTGTCGAATAATCTCGCGCGAAATAATTCGCATTATCACTATAGTGAAATTTACCCAATCAAGTGAATGCTCACTTTTGTCATTTTCACCACGTTTCAAGATACACAATCGACCCCCTGAGGGACCACCTGTGGCAGCGATGGTCCCAGGAGTATCTCCAGACCCTGGCCCCGCGACCAAAATGGTGAAGGGAGGCCAACCTCAAGGAGGGCCAACTATGCCTGCTGCGGGGTGAGGCCACGCCACCGTCCCGTTGGCCCTTGGTCCGCATCGTTCATATACATCCGGGTGACGATGGGAGAGTAAGGGTGGTCGACGTCCGCATTCCTACCGGCCGGCTCATTCGTCCGGCTGTCAAGATCGTGCCGCTCCCACTCGCCGGCGATGCGCCCCCCGTCACCTCGCCGCCGTAAAACCTCCGCGGCAGACAGAACTACGTGTAAATAGTGTGAATAACCGCGTTTACTAATGTCTTTGTATCAAACTCACCGTTATATCGCTGCCCAATCTTGTAGCGAGGACCACGGCATTGCGCTGGGTCGCCTGCCCACCACCACTCACATATCGTCGGGACGACCGAACGACCCGCGGTGTTCACTCGCGCAATTAATTGTCGGCGGGGTCTGCGCCCCTATGACGAGGCGGGCGGGATGTTCGGAAACAGTCGCGATTTTGTGCCGACACCGCCGCTCAAATAACCCGCGCTCGCCGATCTGGCGCGCTCGCCTGTTGGCGACGCAGCCAATCACGGGACTCTATAAATCGACCGCGGCGCCGATCTCCCTATGAGATTCAAAGGCGACGGTTGAGTTCGCGCAAATAACCTACCGCCCCTATCTTCGGGAGGATTCCACTGCCCGAAAAACAACCGAGACAAACAACTTTTGCAGGCCAAAAGTGCCGAATAAGCGTGCGAATCTTCCGGACGATAGGAGGGCTTAAAAACAGAAACGCCAGTGCCGCCAGCAGCACTTCGCAATAGTCCGCATAGTGACAACAGCTTTCTCGTTTGCGCACCGAGATCGTAACTTTCGGACCTCGACTAACGGCAAAGTGCCATTTGCGCGTGTATTCTGTTTTATTAAGTAATAAAACCACGAAGTAAACTGCATCTAGCTATCTCAGTTTATTTCACATTCCGCTCCTGTCGATCCCCCCTCGGGAGAACCGCTAACGCGGATCGCTACATATATATATTGTCAAATTAATAATTTTACTAATTTTACTATCAAATAAACTCTAAAATACTTAAAATGTTTAATGTTTTCAGAAATTATTCGAATCTCACGTCATATTGCTTGACTTTAAATAACATGCGTAAATTCAATTTGTCAAAAATAGATGGAAAGACTACAAAAAATTATGGTAAAATCGGCTTTTTTTTTAATAAAAATAAATATTGAAATAAATTAAAATTTGAAATAATTAAAGCGTATTTACTGTATAAAACAAAATTGTGTGGAAAGACACAATGCCCGATTAGTCTAAACGTCGTGTGAGATTGGATAATCGGAGAGAGAGTCCGACTCTGAAGGCGTAACGAAACTCGTGAGAGAATCGGAATCCCGAGAGAGTCGGAACTCCCGCGAGAGTCATAGTTACACCTTTAATACAAATTCAATAATCAATAAAATTTCAAAGTTATCTACTAATTCAATATTACTATTTTTTGTTTTCCTTAAATGCTTATTAAACTAAAAAAATTTGGACTACTTATTAAACTATAAAATATATAATCTATTACGAATTAAAACTATTTTGCGAAACAAAATTTTCATATTTTAATAAAATATATCTTACAGATCGAATTAAAATATTAAATTTTAAATTTTAAAAGAACTAACTTTTGCAAAACGCGGCAGTGCATTCAACACAAAATGAGCTTTGCGAGCTCTGTGCGTGCAAACTGTGCAAGTATTTCCTCAAACACAGTCGCACGATATACATAGATAAATAGATAATACTGTTACGCGCCGTTGTTGCCACGTCTCAAGAAGGGTTAAAGTAATAAAATTCATAAAGATGTAAGTTTGATCCAAATATTAAATAATAGAAACAGTGGCGTGTAATGCGACTGTTTGAATAAAGACTAATCCTCTCCATTCGTGTCAGCGAGGCTTACCTCCTCCTCAGATACCTCAGTTCTGAGAAGGTGGGTGCTCTCTTTTATTTTAGGGCTACCTGCGATGCCGGCAATATCCCGGGATGTGAGAGCTAAGATCGTTTGTTGAAGGTAGGAAGGTGAATAAGTACACACACAATGAATGACAATTTACGCGTTCCGCTTGAAGCTGTTCCTTTTACCCTGTTGCTACTTAATTATTTAATTTTATTTATTTGTTTATTTAGCTAATTCTAAGCTACAATGTTGCAGACGGAGGAGTAGCTTGGTCCTGTGTATAAATCTGAATCCGATGACTCCGGTATTTCTAAGATTTCGGGCTCCGGAT